GCGGTGTTATTCAAATTTTTTTTCCTATTTTATCTTCTCAACAACGTGAGAACTTCCCGGGAGAATAGAACGCACTATTGTGCGAACAATAAAAAAATGTACCTTGAACAAAATTCGTAACATTCGGGATCTTTGAACTGACAGCGGAATTTCCAGGACTCGGCTGAACAGCGTAACGGAAAATATACTGCCTTCGGATACTTTTCCACCAATCTCAGCAATAATGGTCTCAGTGGGGCGGATTCCACTAAATTCAACATTCCTGTCATCTGAGGAATCCAGTGCAAGAACATCCATTCCGGGATTCCGGAAATCTGCAATAAACGGTACATAGGAAGAATGTTTTACTCTATTATCGGCACATGATTCGCTCGGGAAAGTTAAAATTATCCGAGGGATTTTTTTTTTGCCTGGAAGCTTCAATGATGGTCCGGAACCAAACTTTCTTTAAATACTTACAGATAATCTCAAGCAAGAACACAAAAACTTACAGAATACAAAAATACATCTAAAATTATACAAATGATTTCGATGTAAAGGGGGGGGGGGGGAGGGCATGCAGAGAACGTACACCTCACTGTACCGTCACAATGAAGACAACAGCATTTCGAATTTTTAAAAGTCGTCGGCACAAAATAAATCATCAAGACGATTACGCTGAAAAATAAGAAACAAACTTCGTATTTATCACTCACATTTTCTGAGAAAACTGCGGCAGTGTCATCAGCATGGTTCACCAGCAACTGCAGCCCGACAGGAATCATTTGCCAGGCATCCTTCGACTCGTTTTTCAGCGCTCGAAGCAAACATTCCATCGCAGATCTTGCAAGAGGAATTTCGTCTGAAACATGAATTTATTTGACGCAAATTTAAAAAAAAAAAAAATCGCGTCAGAAAAAAGTTCGTAGTCCAGTGTTCTTATTCTGATGTCGAACTTCATAGCGATACATATTTTCCTTCTTTTTCTCGACTATTCCAAAGCTAAGGATTTTCTTTACTCAAAATCTTTGAAGTTGTGGTTACGGATAAAAAAAAAGGGAGGTGCTCAATAAAAAAAAATGTTAATAAAAATTTATAATTAAATCAAGAAACAGTATCATAAAATACGCAAGGGGCGACGTCCAACACGTACCTAATCCCATTTAAACATTTTTAAACTCCCTATTGAGGTTTTTCAAGGGAATTCTCACCTGTCCGCCATTGCGTCAAGTTCTCGTGACAGAAGTTCAACAGTCGCATTAAGGCTACAACGTCATCCGGCTTCTCGTCGACACACTTTTTCAGTTGCTGCCAGGAACAAAGTAACAAACCATCCAGAATTTTTCGGGGGCTCGACCTACAAAGTTCACCATTCAAACCAATCATCGCTTGTCGAATTATCAATTTTGATGAAACGATTGTGCAACAGCACTGAAGAAGAGTCAATGGACAGCATCGTAATTGAGCGATACAAGCCACATTTCATCTCTCAAAAATTGAGCTGAAAAACGCGCGAGGTCTATTTACTCAATATTTTTGAAAATATAAATTTTATTCCTAATATAATTTTTTTAATACTTGAAGATTGTTTTTGTCCCTTCGAATATCGAACTACCACAGCTAATACTCACGTATCGGTGAATCCAAAAGCATCCCCGACATTTCGCCACCAATCTTCGGCAAACGCAGCAAAAACTTCCTCTTTTGTGAGTATTTTTGAAGCAACGAACTGTGCCACAAATGCACGGTAATCCCAATACATCGAGTCATCAGGAACATTATCTGATCAGGCAAAAAAGTACAGTACAACAAAAATGTAAAAATACTCATATAATAAATGAATCTCACTGACCCCACGAAATCCAAGAATCCACAGCTTTTTTAAAAGCATCTTCATCACTCGGCAGAAGTTCAGAATCGGACAACTTCCGCTTGATTTCTAGCAGCCGTACTTCAGCCTTTTCAGCGGAACCTCGAGCCTGAACATGCGAGAAGAATGCGCAAAAAAAAATCAGAGTCGCTTTCGACATAAACCTTTTCGGCACTTTAAAAAACTTACGAAGTCTTCGGCTCGCCTGCGCCATTTCTCAAAGTCCTCCATGTTTCTGCCATCCCCAGCAACTTTCGCCACTTGGAATGCCAAACGAAACTTTGCCTTTTTAGCTTCATCATCCAACTTTTTCGGGAAAGTTTTCTCCACGTGCTTGACGTAGAACAACCTATAAACGATAAATGCACACCGCATTCACGAAAAAAAAATGTATCAAGGTGATTTGACGAGACAGCAGGAAAGAATTTCAAAGCTCAGTTATACTCGCCTGAATGAGACAATGTCATCCCAAATGTCTAGCGAAGCCCCAGCAGCTGGCAGTCCAGAGATACTCGTTTCAGAGGATGCCCAATGCGACAAAAGGGATTTGTACAGCGACAACTGCTTCCAATCTGGCTCGGTGCAAATCTCCAATATAGTCTTGAATATAAAAAAAAATTAGTTGAAATTTCCTCTTTAAAAAATTGCACAAAATGTGAACAAATATGCCTGTCTACTCAGAGATTGTAAAAAATAGAGACGCCATAAAGATTTTGAAAAATTATTGAAGTATTAGTAGAGTATAAATTGTCTGAGGATGATTCGTCAACTTCTTTTCACTTTCAACCATTGTTCCAAGCAACCCTTAATTTACTTCACCAATTGAGAAAGCAAAAAATTCGACTTGACTCAAGAGCTCAACACGTCCATTTCTTTGTGCATTAATTGGCTTTGTGTTCAAATTATCACCTTGAGCAAAAATATTTGAATAGAATGGAATCGTTCGTGATAACGTTTCTCATCTCTAAAGCATGAGACGTCAAGGGGTACACGAGTTAAATTCTTTTTGTTAATCTTAATTATTTTCAAAGACGCGATTTATATTAATAAATTTGTACTTGACACAGCAGCTAATATTAGCATAATATTGAAAGTCTATGTCTATGAATTATGTTAACTTGAAAAACTTCGGGATAAAAGCCAATTAAGTCAGAAAATGTTTGACCAAGGTCCCGGGTTCTGAAGAAAAATATTCTGTAGTTGTCTCATAAATCACATCCCGTAGTACTCAAAATGTTATTTCTTCTTAATTACCAAAATTGCATTCATGAATGCTATAAGAGTTTGTCGTAAATATGAATGGAACACAAAATTTGTTTTTCTGAATTTCTCCACTGATACGTCGACTCGGAAAAATTCAAAATGTATCTTGATTGTAGTATATTTAAATTGATGACAGTACTTTTAAATCGACGAGTCGGTGAAGATCCAGGATTCGTTCTCTTCGATCGCTGGTAGCAACCGCCCATTGAGCCGCCAATCCTCCAAGAGCTCGTTNATCTCGTCGCAAATAAACAATTTGGCAAACATTTTCCCGACTCACATCGCACTAGCTGTCCGGAGACCACGTCTATTTTTCCATTAACGGACCATAAAACGTCACAGATTGATGCAACAACTGGAGCATGCGGTAATGTGGACGATTTCAGAACGAGGTCAACCCCTGCGCCAAATTTTTTCAAAAAGTCTTTCATTTTCGTTTCTCTGGCGATTCCACTGATGATGGCCGAGAAAAGTGTTTTTGCCACAACTCCATCCAACTGAAACCACCAGACATGTCTTCAGTTAGACCAATTTGTACAGCAATGTGTGCGAGACCAGAGCAATAATTTATTTGGAAGACATTTCGTTGTAGAAAAGCTGAATTGACAAAAACACAGCCCGGGTGAACGTCCGTTTTAACGAATTTCGGCAATTCTTGAAATTTTCTTACGCTGGATAAAATTGTAAAAATAAATTCAGGATAGAAATGATTTAAAAAGTTACGTCATCGCCAACATCCCTTTCATTGGGCATTTGAAAAATTTGTCTCACTTGAAAATCAGAGTGTCAATATTTCTGAAATGTTTTAAAGAGCTTATTTTCTCGAAAATTTTTACTTTGAGCGGAGCCGGTTACGAACGTTTCCAGACTGCTCTAGGAACATTCCGTAAACTTACAGGCCGTGTCCAGGTCGACGCATTAAAAAATCTAAATGCACTTCCTCAACACGCTGAATACGTTTCAGCTCCGATTCTCGCTCTTCCTTCACCTTTCGACGTTCTTCCATTTTCTTGAAGACAAGAGAACGATCGGCGACGTCTTCGGATTTGACAAACCTCCGCTTGATGAGCTTGAAACTGTCTATTAATCACAGGGAAATACAGTATTAAAATTTACTCAACGATGAAACAACGGGTAAAGCGAACCATTTCCCGTGTTACCATCGCTACTTCCGGGGGCTTTAGGCAATTTGAAAGCCACATCATGGGTACGTTTGACAGTTTTACGCCGAGATGCCGGCGTTTTTATCCTACCTTCGACTGACGGTAGTTTACTGCCTAAGAGTTTGCAAACGACTCACTGGGTTAGGTAGGGACGCTTACTTTTAAAACTTTTATGACATAAAGTTGAAACTTGTGTGTAAAATAAAAGAATAAGCTAATTTCATCTTGCTTAGCGACCTAATTCATCCCTGCGAAACATTTGAAAAAATATTTCAGCTTTAAACACGAAGTTTCCTTTTGAATGAGCTGATTTCATGGCAAAATATCATCCCAAGGAAACAATCACCTGGTTTTATTTCTCTGAGAACTGAAGGACCGTTTGATTTTTTGATCAACCGGACTCGGTAAGAATTTTCTTCGTTTCAGGTAAGTCATAATCTTTTTTTATGAAAGCATTGCCAAGTAATCTCATTCCTGTGAACTGGCTTTAAAAAAAATGAATCCCCGACCGATCGAAATTCACAAGCAGATAAAACGTCATGCTTGAATCCCCAAGAAGCACATGTTCGGCGTATCTTGAACATGTAATTGAACCTCGATAACCAGGAACTCCCTATATCGAAATTGTTTTTTTACTTTCCGTCTGATTTTTTTCAAAGAAAAAATGCATCAAAAACCCTTTACTCAAAGGCTTACCCCCTCAAACCCCGATAAGTCGGATTTTCTAGAGGTCCTTTGGCTATTATTTTATTGACACAGGGAAGATAAAAGCAATACAAATTTAACTTGATGTCCTTCGAAAGGAAGTGAGGGATTAATTGGGCAAATAAACACTTGCCTTCAACTTCAGCATCCTGACAACTCATTCAAAAAGTAATTCAAGGCCCTGAGTATCACCACTTACAATTTCCTTTTATTCTTGTTTCTTTTTCTCAACAAAATGCTTGCTTCTCTAACTCAATTTTTTTTTCGTTTTTCTGCTGGTCCCTTGAAGTTTGACTGTATACTGTATATTGTTCACTACATTCATCAAATTACGCAACAAACAAAAAAAGCTCGAGAGAGTAATATATCCCCTATCAAATTCCTCAGGTTTTCATGATAAACTGAAACGAATGACAAAGATTTTCTCACCTCCATCAGCCTGTGTGGGCGTGATATCAAAATGCCCATTCACACTGCCCGAAGGAACCATTTCTCCGCCTCCTCGTTTTTCACCCACACTTCCGCTTCTAATACTCCTCATCACCGTCGCCTCAAACACACTCGCCTGAGAACCACCCAATCGACTACTCAGTCTTCCCACAGAAGCAAACAAAGGCTTAGCTGAGCCACGCATTCTTCGCGCAGTCGCCACCACGGCATACGGCGTATATTCGGCGTCATTCAGCAGCGGACGAGGAAATTGCGACCTTTCATAGTCGGGACTCTGGGCCGTGGTTTGCAGGACGAGGTAAAGTACGTTGGGTAAAAGACGGGACTCGGTTTCCGCAGCGTGAATGGCGAGAAGGACGTCGATGAGTCGACCGGCGATGGAGTGGAATTGATCCGCTTTGTTCGACCAAAAGGAAAGACACTTGTGTCGAAGCAACGAGTCCGAGTCTGCAACACCGCGACGCAATGCAGCCAAGAAAAGTTCGGATCTTGATGAAAAGATGAAGACGAAGGTCCAATTCGTTATTAGCATCAAGCAGCATTTGAAAAATAATTAAAATAATCAGTATGCTCCTTCTTCTGACTACAACGCAGAAAATGGAGCGCAGCGCTTCTCACTTCTACGATCTGTATTCTAACTCCGAAATTTCTTTTTCCATTACATAGGTGTCACCTCAATCGTTCAACATGGATCAACAAAAAATCCGCTGTTCATATCAGCTTTTGGCTTCGTTTAATCGCGTTAGCTCAAAATGTGTTTAGCGTGTCAGTTCAGGAATTACGATTAATCAACTTCGAGACTTGATAATCATGTCAGTTTAAGCCAATCAGTAATGTTCCGAGCCTTTGGATCAGGTTATTGATTTTCGACAAGGGATGAAAATCCTAGAAAACATAGACCGGAGTCACAGAAGAAACGTCGTGCCGGAACGAATTTTATTGCAGAAATTAGACGGCTTACTTGTTCCTTTCTTTGAAAAAAAAATAAAGACAGCACCCAAACAGGATGAGGGGCATGAAAAAAAAACCTGATCACATTAAGTTTTAGCGCAGCATTCGTAGTTGTGGGGCACAGAGGGCACGTCCCACGAAACCAGTAAAGTAAAAAACCTCGCAATTATTATGTTGTAAACCTGAATGATTGGAATGCGGCAATGGGGAATTCCTTGGAAGCTCCCGCTGCCGCAAATTGCGCAATTGTAAATCTTTTCTCTTTTCGCGATGAATTATTTTGCATTACGTTCGGAACTCTCGAAGCGTTTGGTCTTGCTAGAGAAATTTTGTTGTGTGTCAATTTTGCTGACTGTTCAAAATTCCCGATTTTCGTATTTTATCTGTCCCACATTATTTGCTCGTATTTGTGAATTCTTTCTTAAAAACGAAATGTACAATTCTCAACTCTTTGGAGTCCTTACCAAAGGGCTCCCTGCCGTGTTCCCCGGCGGATTGTGCATTTTTACTCATTTATTTTATTCCTCCATTCATTGGAATTCTTTGTGGGCTCGTTGCCCTACAGTAGTTGATGAAGAGAATCGTGTGATCATCCTCGTTGAAATCAATTACAGTATTTGAACATGAAATTCGGTTCTCACGGAAACTGTTGGCTTTTTGTAAAAAAAAAAAAACACGTTTCCATCTGTCCAGCACTAAAATATTCGAAGGACGAGAAAACTTCTATACGCACTTGGCAGACCATTCGGCGCAAACGTCGTAAACAGCAGCTCTACACGAGCGATCCGGACTATAAGCCCCATCGACAAGAGCTTGCAACAAATTTTGCGGAACCTCGCTTTCATAAAATGCCCGTAGCAATCAAGTCAAGGCAAGTCGCTTTCGAATCGACATCCAATGATGGCAGAATGAACGTCAACTGATTCAAGAACCTGAATGAATATAAACCCGAGTTTTACTTAAATCATTCACTCATACATTTATTCAATTTCAATTTTTTCAAATATTAAAAAAAGAATTTAAAAAGCACATCAAAATCTGGAGTGCGGATTAGTTTTTGAAAAGGAAAAAAAAAAAACGATAAATTGCTTCAAAAAAATTGGACAGAATTTAACAAATACTTTAGCTGTTTTGAGTCGACTATTTTTCCTTCATCCAAATTTCTACTGATGAAATGCAAGATTAAATTTCTAAGAATAAAAAAAGCCTTAAAACTTACCTCCCCGCAATCGTAGGGAAATGCAAATGAATGTTCTGAGCGCATCGAATGAAACGAACTGAATCCTTGGCCAGCTTTTCAACATGCCCAATGATACAGTCAATGAAGGATCGTGAGACATTTCCAATGGCTCCATTCCAATCACTGGGCTTCATTTTCGACAGACTTTTAAGCAAGACCCCCGTGACTTCGGATGCTGTTCGCAACGACGGAATGTCATGCCTCGTCACAAAGAATTTTGCCACTTTCCGCAAAATTCTGAAAAATTGGAGCAGTATAGTACATATGGACTCCACAAGAAGATTCAAAGAACCAGAAAAAATCGTCGCAGAGAACTCATATGCAATGGGGAGAGAACCCATAGGACCAAAAACGAATTCGTCTAACAGAGAAAATCGTTGCAGATAGTTGGAGATTTCGCAACAACGATGGAGATAGTTCTGCAAAATTCCGAACACTCACCCGTTTTCATCGTTAACACCATCAGAAAATAGGCCGACACCATGAGCAACGATTGCTCCTAAAGCCCTGATACCCGTGTCAGACACGGAATTATCTCCTTCTTTCGGAGATTCATCCTCAAGCAGCATCGCAAGGACTCGAACCGGCATCCTTAACAAGTCTTTCCACAATTCCGCGGCGTTTCTAAAGCAAAAAATCGAGCCATATAACCGAAATTTTACACGGATCAAGGCAATATAGAATAGGATCAATCCTCGAACTCACGCCAGTGTGTCCAGAATGGCAAGTTTCACATCCGATCTAAATAACTGCGAGGATTTGAGGACCAAGAACTCCACAAAATTCGACACATCTTCGCTCAAATCCGAGTCTCCTTTTTTCTTGCTCCACTCGAAGACCAATACACTCTTGAAAAACAAACCAGTATTTTAGTACTCCATAAAAAAAAGCTGAGTACCTCCATAACATACCAAATCCAAAGTAAGGTAATTCAGCTGTTCGCCAACAGCCTCGCTATAAATAGCACGCAACAACCCAGGGACAAAAATTTGTCCCCACGGTTCCAAAGCATCCCTACAGTTGTTCAGCAACTTTGCCACCATCTGCTTCACTTTCGGCGATTTTGACGATTCCAAGGCATCCCGCAAATGTTTCACGATCGTCGGAATTTCTTTAGAAGCGGAATTTTGCAGAGCAACGAATCGCAAAGCGGCTGTTAATTGCGGCGCGCATTCGTGCTGATTCAACGAATCCAATTCCAATTCGAAGAGCGCACCTGAAAAATATAAAAAATTGAAGACGTTAATACTGTACATATTCAAGTGCACATCACATTGTTGACCGAACTGCGAGCTTAAAATTTAAAATACGCCGTACAAAACAAGGAAAATCACATAAAAAAAGGAAATTCAGCAAATTAAACCACAGAATCGAACAGGAAAAAAATAAAGACAGCACAGTACTTCAAATTATTACAATACTACCTTGTTAATAAATTTAGATTAGTTTTAATACTGTATTCCGAACTCACCGGCGTTCTCTTCGATCGTGGCAGCAGGACTAGGAGGCATTGGGTCCGAGAAATCGAACTTGGCAACATCTTCGGATAAAGTGCTTCGACCAAGAAAGTTCAACGTTGAAACTGTTCTTTGCGATGTGGAACCCACGCGATGATTCTTCCCCAGTTTCCGTCCAGTTATCATAGAAAATCTGACCCTCTTTGGAATACTTTCCAGTTCTAGGCCAAGTCCTGTATCCCTGTTTTGGGGTATGATGTTGGAGAAAAGCGTGTCCATATCTAAAAAAAAAAATTTCAAGAAACGTGAAATACTGAATCGACCTCATATAATGTAGTGCTATATTAAGAAGGTTCAGTCAAATTCAAAGTGATGCTACTAAAAAAATTACTTCGGCGAGTTTTTTATTCAGGGAATATCTTGCCCGTTTGTGAAGGTTGATCAAGGAAAAGGATATTCTGGCCTGATTATCAAGCGTACATTATTCATGAATATTCGACCTACCCTAAGTTGCCTAAGTCATTATGAAAAGCATGAAGATAATTTCGGTATTTGCATCTATTTTCTTTTATTTCTGGCGCAGGTGTTAAAAAAGTTAGCCCAGTTCAATAACACGATTCGACAAGTAAGGTCATGGACGAATATTTTCGAAAGGGGGTTTAAAATGCGATGGTTTTACGGAAAATGGCCAGCAAGAATTAACTGAAAATTCGCTTACTGTTTTTTTTTTCCTAAGGGAGGTTCGATTTATTGAAGTTCAACAGTATAGATGCACTGAAATTCTGATAATGTAATAACCTTTGTCCACAGTTTCTCCTAGAGTATTATTTTTGGTAGAGTACATTGATTTCCACGCTGTTATTTTTTTTATTCAATTTGACAAAAGTGAAATTCAAGGGGCATCGAAAAAACTTTCAACTTTCTCAAAACCATACCCCTGCACCCTTTCCCTTCGAGAGCAACACAATATTTTGACCTCGAAGACATTCAATGAAACGAAAATTTACGGAAACAAATACTTGACTGTACCTTTGGTCCCAGGGAAAGCAATAGTGAAGGAATCGTCACTTTTTCTGTGATTCCTCAAGCAAGCTAGGACGCAATTTAAAGCCCAACATCGGGCCACCCGAACTGACTCTAGCACATCTTCGGTTTTGTGCTCATTCAGCAGGGTTTCAGCTTCACGCGCCAACGCCTTTCCCATAATGAAATCTCGACAAGATTTCGCAACTTCATTCGCCAATCGCTTGACTTGTTCCTTTGCAGGCCTGTTTTTCAATTTTAGTCTTGACGATTCTTCTTGTTCTGACCAATCGTAGGAGTACGAAGAGTCGACAGTTAATGCGCTAAGGCGCGAATGTTCGTCAGTCAATTCTTTCCGCAAACTGCGCAAAATGACCTCCATCATCTGGTAAAAAAAAATTAAATAAAATTAATAACGGACTTCCAGAGTCGATCACCACTCTGATATAGATATACAGTATTATAAAATCGCGGAACAAATTTCGGAGCAGGATTTCAAAAAGCTGGAGGACCAAAAAAATTCCAACATCAGATTTTTCCAAGTATTATAAAATCGCGGAACAAATTTCGGAGCAGGATTTCAAAAAACTGGAGGACCGAAAAAATTCCAACATTAGATTTTTCCAAGTACCGTATGTCGTATGTAAATAAAAGAAAATTTGGAATATATAAGATGATTTTTATAGAACATTCAGGCTTAATGCACAAAGACGAGTTCCTCTATAATCTCGGTATACGTTGCTTGCAGTCACGACATTCATTACAAATTCCATTATATGATTTTGGGTTTCGTCTATACTCGAACATATAAAGTTTAATACATTAGATGATTAGAATTCCCAAGAAGGTTGATCTGTGGTTCCAAATAAGAATTAAATAAATAATGAGGATAATCTCTTTTGACAGTTTCCTGACGGAATCCATCATTTTAAACCTTTTCTAACATTCTCATCACCGATTTCAACATCTACACACGTTAGGGCCAAGATTTGAAGCATACAAAAAAAGGAATGCATCGTTGAACAACAACTTCTAAACCTAAAAATCTGAACCAAAAAATATAAACGCAAATTTAAAACATATTAAACTGAGACTCTTACACATTTACAGCATATACTGTAGAATATACTTACAGTACTTATAATACGGTATATTTTAAAGTACAGTGTTTACATATATTTTCCTCACCTGAAAGCAGCAGCGTTTGTAGACGAAAAATGCAACCGCTGCTTGTTCGCTTTTCGCAGTAAAGCCCAGGACATTTAGATCCGCATCCATGGAGCATCCTTTAATTAGTTCTCTGATGTGCTTCACGCTGAACTTGAGTTGAACAGATTCTGTTTGTAGTTCCAATAGTCGACAGATGAATCGTGAAGCCATCCTTGAACCAACACAGTCCGCTCTAATGTTAGATTCATTGTGCAAAGACCTCGTCCACGAGTAGTCGAGCAATTCGTTCACGAAGTCTTCCTCCATTCTTGAGAAATAAAATAGTAGACAATGTCGCAGTGCACCACGAAAGAACAAATAAAAAATACAAATATTTTCATCCGCAAAATGGCCTCGAAATAGTTTCAATCATCAGCAAAAAAAATTAAAAACTCCAGTATTTTCATTTAAACCTCCACCTTCCCAGTTCGCCCCAATTTCTATTTCATAGGTGTACAAGCATATATTATTTGTCAGGTTTTTACGGTCTGAGATACTGTATTACAAGTAAGATTAGGCTAGTTTACTGGGGTCAGGTTAGTCATTAGACCAGGGCTTTTCAACCGGTGGTACGCGTACCCCAGGGGGTACGCGAGTACTACCCAGGGGGTAAGCGCCCAGTGTCCCCAAAAAAGTCAAAAATATGTTTTCTTTGGCTCAAGTAAAATTCTGAGTCCTGGGATTCATAGTGGAGGAAGGTTTCCGAGATTTGGAGCACAGCAGAACCAGTTTCATCCCTCCCAGGAAAAGAAGGGCTGTTATTTATTTTTTCCCCACCCCTCTCCCTCCAGGACAGCAGCCAGCATATGTAAAAGAAAAAAATTACCTAACAGAAAAATCGATCCACAACACTGCACACAAAACAATAGAAGTGAAANACGCCTTTCCCATAATGAAATCTCGACAAGATTTCGCAACTTCATTCGCCAATCGCTTGGCTTGTTCCTTTGCAGGCCTGTTTTTCATTTTTAGTCTTGACGCTTCTTCTTGTTCTGACCAATCGTAGGAGTACGAAGAGTCGACAGTTAATGCGCTAAGGCGCGAATGTTCGTCAGTCAATTCTTTCCGCAAACTGCGCAAAATGACCTCCATCATCTGGTAAAAAAAATAAATAAAAATAAAAATTAATAACGGAATTCCAGAGTCGATTACCACTCTGATATAGATACTGTATACAGTATTATAAAATCGCGGAACAAATTTCGGAGCAGGATTTCAAAAAGCTGGACCAAAAAAATTCCAACATTAGATTTTTCCAAGTACCGTATGTCGTATGTAAATAAAATACAATTTGGAATATATAAGATGATTTTTATATAACATGCAGGCTTCATACACAAGGATGAGTTCTTCTAATTTCGGTATACTGTACGGTGCTTGCGGTCACGACATTCATTACAAATTCCATAATATAATTTTGGGTTTCGTCTATTCTCGAATATATAAACTTTAATGCATTAGATGATTAGAATCCGCACGATGGTTGATATGTGGTTCCAAATAAGAATTAAATAAATAATGAGAATAATTTCTTTTGGCAGTTCTCTGTCGGAAGCCATTATTTTAAAACTTTTCCAACATTCTCATCACCGATTTCAACATCTACACACGTTAGGGCCAAGATTTGAAGCATACAAAAAAAGGAATGCATCGTTGAACAACAACTTCTAAACCTAAAAATCTGAACCAAAAAATATAAACGCAAATTTAAAACATATTAAACTGAGACTCTTACACATTTACAGCATATACTGTAGAATATACGTACAGTACTTATAATACGGTATATTTTACAGTACAGTGTTCACATATATTTTCCTCACCTGAAAGCAGCAGCGTTTGTAGACGAAAAATGCAACCGCTGCTTGTTCGCTTTTCGCAGTAAAGCCCAGGGCATTTAGATCCGAATCCATGGAGCATCCTTTAATTATTTCTCTGATGTGCTTCACGCTGAACTTGAGTTGAACAGATTCTGTTTGTAGTTCCAATAGTCGACAGATGAATCGTGAAGCCATCCTTGAACCAACACAGTCCGCTCTACTGTTAGATTCATTGTGCAAAGACCTCGTCCACGAGTAGTCGAGCAATTCGTTCACGAAGTCTTCCTCCATTCTTGAGAAATAAAATAGTAGACAATGTCGCAGTGCACCACGAAAGAACAAATAAAAAACACAAATATTTTCATCTGCAAAATGGCCTCGAAATAGTTTCAATCATCAGCAAAAAAAAATTAAAAACTCCAGTATTTTCATTTAAACCTCCACCTTCCCAGTTCGCCCCAATTTCTATTTCATAGGTGTACAAACATATATTATTTGTCAGGTTTTTACAGTCTGAGATCCTGTATTACAAGTAAGATTAGGCTAGTTTACTGGGGTCAGGTTAGTCATTAGACTACTTCTAGCGAAATTACAGAATTCGACAACATCTGACATTTTCAGAAAACAAGGCCGAGCGTTGAAGCACAAAAATAAGAAAGAAAAATAATTCGTGCCAGATATAAACAATAAAACACAAAATGAACTTACTCAGACAATCTGAAAATAGTTTCTTCCAGCACGGTTTCATGCGCATGATCCGACTCCGAAAGAACGGCTTCGGCCAACATCGCAAATAAAATGCAATCACGATTTTCCACAGCTCCTTGAAATAAACTTCTCAACGCTTTTCTGTGACTCATCCAGTTGAGCGAATTTTGCTCGTTGTCTTGAGATTTTTTCGGGAAGTATTTATGCATCGCTATAGCGACGTTTTGCCTGAAGAAAAACAGATAAATAATGACTTATTCAGCTGATCCGAAAAGAGATAAAAATCAGGTGCATCCCAAAACAGGGCATGTAAAAAATACTGCACGCTAACCAAATGAAATAATATCGGAGATAGATAATATATTTGTGCATATTAAAAATTAATACCAAACCGTGCCAGTTAAAAATTAATCGCGTCATCAGGCCCATAAGTTCTTTATATTTTGGAAATTTTCTTTTCAAGGAAATATCCGATTTTAAATAATACTGGAAATTAAATAACCAGATTGAATCCTTATCTGACACTGAAAAAATGCTTTGAATGATCTCAGTGTTGAAATTTTGCTTCTTTCAACAATATTTCGAGATTTTCCCAAAAGCCCAATTAAATGAATGAGAGAAATCTGATGAACTAACCTGTGACTACAGTCCGTTGAACCTACGCAGGTGGTTTTACATTTCGAACAGTTGATCGTGATGAAAGGAAACAAATCCACGTCGCGATTCAGATCAATTACGACGTCCAACTTGGTCAAAATTCCAACAAAGAATTTTTCCGCTTCCTCAAACTCGCCGATTGAACCAGTCGTCTGAATCAGGTTACACAACCCAACTCCCAGACGAACGATTTCATCTTCCTTCTTTTCATCAGAGCGGGTCTTGTAATGGGTCAGAATATTTTGCCAATAAGAGAACAAGACTGGGAATCTGTGAGAATGAATGGAACAAATAATACAATAAATAAAAACGAAGGACCATCAAACTTTTCAATTCAAATGCGGCTCTGGTTTCCTTACAAGGTTTTGGTTCTAGAAACTGACAAAACTCCGACGATGATGTCAAAAGCCACATCCCGGACTTTATGTTGACCGCGTCCAAAAGCGTCTTCCATAAGAGATAAAAATCAGGTGCATCCCAAAACAGGGCATGTAAAAAATACTGCACGCTAACCAAATGAAATAATATCGGAGATAGATAATATATTTGTGCATATTAAAAATTAATACCAAACCGTGCCAATGAAAAATTAATCGCGTCATCAGGCGCATAAGTTCTTTATATTTTGGAAATTTTCTTTTCAAGGAAATATCCGATTTTAAATAATATTGGAAATTAAATAACCAGATTGAATCCTTATCTGACACTGAAAAAATGCTTTGAATGATCTCGTTGTTGAAATTTTACTTCTTTCAACAATATTTCGAGATTTTCCCAAAAGCCCAATTAAATGAACGAGAGAAATCTGATGAACTAACCTGTGACTACAGTCCGTTGAACCTACGCAGGTGCTTTTACATTTCGAACAGTTGATCGTGATGAAAGGAAACAAGTCCACGTCGCGATTCAGATCAATAACGACGTCCAACTTGGTCAAATTTCCAACGAAGAATTTTTCTGCTTCCTCAAACTCGCCGACTGAACTGGTCGTCTGAATCAGGTTACACAACCCAACTCCCAGACGAACGATTTCATCTTCCTTCTTTTCATCAGAGCGGGTCTTGTAATGGGTCAGAATATTTTGCCAATACGAGACCAGGACTGGGAATCTGTGAGAATGGATGGAACAAATAATACAATAAATAAAAACGAAGGACTATCAAAATTTTCAATTCAAATGCGGCTCTGGTTTCCTTACAAGGTTTTGGTTCTAGAAACTGACAAAACTCCGACGATGATGTCAAAAGCCACATCCCGGACTTTATGTTGACCGCGTCCAAAAGCGTCTTCCAGGAACATTTCAAAACATATTTCGCTACTCTTCGCTTTTTCAGAAAACGCTGAATAGATCACAGTTCTATTGGAACTGTTCACACTGACGCTTTCTAAAAAGTCGCACAAGGTTCTTTCCTAAAGAAAAAGAAAAATCGGAGGTGTTCCACTTTTGCACCGTAAAATAAAGGAAACATTTAACTTACTGTCCAGTCCAATGAGACGATGAAATAAAGAAGTTTCTTGGTGTATCTCTGTATAACTGGACTGATTCCTTTATCGGAGTTCAGATGTCGCACCACGTTACTGCAACCTTCCACGAAAACGTCATCCTAAAAGTTTTCGATGATTTTACGATTGTAGAATGGCACATCAATCGCGATTACATGATCATCAGCAGTTTCCATTCATGGAAAACATGATTATTTAACCCCTCTCATAGAACGTTTCAAGTAATTCAAGCTCTACTACTGTAATAGAAAAACCGTGTCTTTTGGGAAATCATATTTTCGCCAGAAAAGGTAAGATGGGTCGAAGAACAGGAACAAATCCAGACATTATCACAACACATAGCACAGGAAATAGACAGTTGCTGGTCGTAAAAATATTGCTCGTGTAGCAAGCAAAATCCCCCCGAAAAAAAGTATTTGTATGTTCTGGAAGTAAATAAGGAACAAATAAGCGAAGTGTTCTGACTCGGAAGTTTAACCTTAAAGCAGTGCTGCCCAACATACGGCCCGCAGGCCAGATCTGGCCCAGACTCATCTGTCCCATGGTCTCTTCCCTATGATTTTCAAGGTGGCGGCCGCCACTATAGAAAATATAAATCGAAAAATGAATTTAAAAATTCAACAGATTGCTCCACCTTTCAAAAATTATATAAAGGTTATGCTTGTGATTAAACGCATAGCACTGATTTCCATTTCCAACTTTTCATTCACAAATTTAAAATTTGAAATTTAAGAAGTATCGCCTTCATAGGCCCACACAGACTTTCCACCTCAGCAATGTGGTCCTTCTTGGCCACAAAAAAAAAGTATTAATCTGGCCCTTGGCAATGTCTGAGTTGGGCAGCACTGCCTTGAAGCTTTCCAAATTTTCAGGATGAATACGAAGATCATTTCTGCTTCAAGAAAAGGTCAAAAACCTTCTTTCCCGTTGTACATGCGCATAACACTCAAGGCTGTTCTCATGTCAAGAATCAGTCTTGATTCACGGTGTACCAGATTCATAAAACTCAAATTTAATTTTCTAACCATTCATAACTCCCGGAAATATCCAAGTTTTTTAGATTTTTTTTTTACCAAATGAATCACCCAGTATAAGTTAAAGAAGAAAACCAACCCGGCAGTCGATGGAGATGAGGTTTCTTTCCAAGTACACCACGAATCTATCCAGCAGGAGAAAAGATTTCGCGTCGATGTTTGATAAATCGAACAATGTACAAAATTTCGCTCTCCCTGCAGCAGCTCTGACTCCACTTTTGAACAATTCATCATTTTCTGCCAGTTTCTCCCCGAACTTCCACATAAGGTTAGGGTCGACTTCAAAAGCCATTGTCGACAATATCGACACCAACTGCTCTGATCCTTCCAGCATTTTCCACACGCTTTTCGCATTCATCGTGTTCAAGAGCTTGAGTAAACGTGAGCACACGGAGTGACGTCGCTCGTTTTCTTTGGATAATGAAGATATGATGGAATCTATGTTGGAAACTGTTTCAAAATGCTCAAACATTGACATGTTCTCCATATCTGAACTCGGCAACACTTCAGTGAGCCAAGACAGAACGCTCAGCTTTCCTTCGATATTTTCCTGCAGATGATAGATTTTGTCGAACTGATCCGTTCTGTTTTCCATGATAGTCTGTAAAGAATTAATTAGGAATTGACAGACAATTTTGTGGCAAACGTTCGTCAATTGATAAAACCTCGATCTTGATGAAAAGAAAAAAGAAGGAATGACGCCGCGTTCTGAAATATCAGTTTCAAGGGCACTTAGCAGATTTTTTAAAATCAACACAATTCCCAACGGATTTTTCGTGATGAAACTCCAATTTAAGTTCTCAGGGCGTTTTCAAAAGCGAACATCAGAGAGAAAAATCCCATCACTTCTACACAAACCTTCACGATCGTCGTCTTATCACAGCCAACATGACTTGAGATTAATTTGAAAGCTTTTCCACATGCAGATTGATGCCGTCTGATCTTCATTGGCGGTCCAGAAAAGTCAATCATATTCATTATCAACCAATCGAAAAATGCGTCCAATGTGAGCTCTCCGACAATCCCACTAAACTTTTTCCGTGCGGACACCACGACGGGGATTTTACTGAGTAAAAGTTTCCTTCGACGTTCTGAGAAAACCATGGCCCTCTCAACATGGTATAAACACCTGAGGATCTCTTCCACTTCGCCTTCTTCGGCTTCACCATCAACGGAGTGTATGAAATTTTCACATAGGTCCAAGGCATCCAAAAAACTCGCGAACAAGTAAAACGAGTATTTGTCCACCACTTCCTTGGCCTCTCGGAACGCAACACGGAGAGACTTGAACCCGTACGAAGCACCTGCGAAAACAAAGCGGACAGTTTTTCACCTCTCGAAGGTTTGAAATCACTGACAGGGTGCTAAAAATGTGTCAGGCCTGCTCGAAAAAATTAATTGTTTTACCCATTATTTTTTCTACGTTTTAGATGTTTCGCAATTGTAAACTGGAAAATTTTCCCTTGAAATCATGCAGTAAATTGATGAACATTTTTAAAAATCTGAAAAAATCCCAGAACCTAAGAACATTATGGGCTATTATTCAGATTATTTTTTCCCTTTACAATCACACCAACGCCAAAAATATCTGAGGTCGAGCTCAACTAGGACAACACACGTGTAGTCGAATGTGTGCGTGTAGCAAATTGCAGAGAAAAGAGCAATTCAAAAACACTTCTAACAGGGACCAACACCAGAAAAATGTATTGGTGCCCCGGATAATGGATGCTTCGTAATTTTTTTTTTACCGAATGATGTATGGATTCCAGCGACGTTTGCTTTGGATATTAGACCCTGCTTCACAGACTGTATTAAAAATGTTAGTCCTTCAAAAATCATGTCGCCGCGAGAAATTTGGTATCCAGAATTTTTCAAGAGCATAAAACCTTTCTATAGTAATATACTTCGGACATGCACTGTTTAATACTAGAGGTGTTTGCGGAAACAGCATAAATATCGACTTAAAATGGTAAAAATGACAATCTACCAACCGAGACGACGAAGAGGATCATCCTGACGACACTGACTCGCAATCCATTCCAGAACGCTCTCCATGGTTCCAATATCATGTGATTCTCGAGCAAACACAAAAAAGTCTCGAAGATACTCGCCAGCTGCTTGCCGTTGTCCAATGCTGCCTCGCTGAACCAACATATCCTGTGAACGCAAAAAAAATTGGGCTCGTAAAATTCAACAGATATTAACGTATATATCCTCAAAAACACCAAAGGGTAATTAACATACTGTAATTTAACTAGTACAGTACTTAGGGTCGTGATGATTCAGAGAAAGGAGTTCGAGGGTTAAGCAAGTAATCCTTCTGTGGAATGCGCATCACGACTTCTCAGGAAAGGAACAGTCTCCTTCTTGAAAAATATTGCTCAACAAATTATTTTCTCAAAAAGCAAAAGTAAGGTACGATATTCTCAAAAAATACTGCAAAATAGGAGTGCTTCGACGATCAGTTATCATTTGCGATTTAATGCACCGTATTAATAATCCTCTAAAAAAAACGTTAGAAACTGACCTAAAAGACCAGAAGAAACGCTTCTAAGGTATTACGAGCTTTTTGTGCCTTCCATATTGTATTTTACAATATTTCTGAAAGTTCAAATATCGAAAAAATCCAAAACTCCCTGCAAATAAACTTATTTGAATACGCGCGTAAATAAAAAAAAAATAATAAAAAGAACTGGTAACTAACGCAAATGCAGCAGAACAAAGCTTCGCGATTGATACGACTCATTTTCGGTTTTCCTGTATTGACCACAAACCAACGAGTCAACTGGCAAATGAGCGGCTTGAAGATGGATTTCACGGCTAGATCGTCGTCATCCGCACCGAGTCGCAACAATGCAGGATACACCAAATACCTTCTTGTCGCCTCCAGGCATGGTGGGCCATCTTCTCCACCAGACGCATCTGCGTTTCATCGAATAGTTGAATCATTTTCTAACGCCAAATATTTTCAAAATACAAATACATGCAAATAGAAAGAGCAACAACAAAAATGTGCAGTTCCAACGAAGTGTGTAAAATAAATCCTTTTACAAAATTTCCCAATCCTTCCTGTTAGGTCGATGAAATTCTCAACATTAGTAATTTATTCGTTCAAATGAGAAGATGTTTCTCATTACAGATGATAGACTCTCTACATACAAAAATGTTCTCCGTTCAACGAATTTTTTATTGTTCCTTGAATTTTTTTAGTGCAGTAGATAGAATCTACTTGTTGAACGTTTTCAATATTCCCTATTTGTTTGACCATAATCATGTGTCACTTCAATTATGTCACGTTCGGAAAAATTTGACAGAGGCTCACCATTTTAGGGAAGGTTCAGCTACCACTCCAAAAATGTAATATCAGATTACTTCAAGTTCGCTAAATATGTTTTTGACATTAGTTAGGATAGGATTAAAAACGTTTATTTCTTCCATTTCAGGCGACACCTGTTCGACATATAGGGAAGCAAGGCCAGGAGTCGAAGTGCAAGGGTGATAGTATTTCACCGAAGCTACATACAATAGTACGGTAATTAGGTTTAGTAATCCGGTGTTTCCGAAGAGGTTTGACAATTTTATTTCTTTATGTTTCCTAAAATTTACTTTGGGTATTTTTTGTTCCTACTGCTGATTCAGTGCGACATCTGTTGAATAAGTTAGAAAAAAAAGTGTCGCACGAGAGGACACAAATTCCAAAAAATTATACTTTTCAATACTGTAATAAATCATAAAGAACATAATAAATTTTTATAATGAAGAACAGCTCACCCATTCCAATCAGGTAAACGACCAAGGAATGCAAAGCTTCGCACGCCGCCAATCGAGTTTTCCTATCGCTTGATTCCACGCTCAATTCGACAATGCGAGGCACAAAACCATCTAAAATTCCGAATTAAATCTGAATGCAAGCATCGATACTTCTCAACTGTCATGAAAATAAACTTACCCACGGAAATCTCGGGCTTGGCATCGACAAATGGCACTGGAAATTGCAACGGTGCTTCGGCATTCCACGCTACAAATTTTCCGTTCGAAGCAGCAGCTCCAGCAAACACAACCCGGGATATGATGCGATCTGACAAACAGTGTTTGCCAATGATGCGAAGGATTGTTGTCTGAATAGTTGAAAGGGAAACGAAGTTGTCACTCATTCCGCCGCTTCGCAGTCTTTTATCGAGCAGCCTCTGGCGACGCTTCCGGCGCGCAGCTTCCGTTTTGGGCAATTTCTGGCCAGGCAATGAATCAACATCCGTCGCTGCGAAGGAAATAATGCTTTTCAATCAGCAAAATTTGTCATTTTGGTACAGAAGTTAAAAATACTCCGAGACCTTTCCTCGAAGCAACTGCCCACTCAAGAAAAATACTTGATTTTCGAAGACTCCTTCGATTTTTATTTCTTTAAATTACCTGCCTCATTCCTCCAATACTGAGGGACTTGAAGCCCTTCAAATTTGGAAAAAAAAAACAACTAAGTAACGAACTATTCGAAGTATTTTTAGGATTACACACGGAAAACAAGGTTATCAACCTGCATTAATAAATAGTTAATTTGGAAGATCTCACAAAATGGAGGAAATATTCGAAACTCACTATTGTCACCAGCAGACCTCAAATACTGATCCAAAATGGGGATTATTTTCGAGAAAAGCTTTTGTTTTCGATTTCCATCCAATGAAGGTAACCATCGCTCAATCGTTTCAAGGCCTTCTTTTGCCAATAAAAGAAAACTTTGTCCTTTGACGAACACCGTCTGCAAAACAAAGAACATGAAAATTTTTTTTCAGATGCAAAGAAGGTAGACAATTTAGTGCAGGGTGTCCTAAAAGTTAATGTGTACTACACTAGCAGCATGAAAGTCTGAATTATCCAAATTATAAATTTTGATTAAACGATTAAACATTGCTCTAAGTATGGGAGATAAAAAAAAAGGCTTCATCGTGAATTTTACCTGGAAACCAATAAACCATCTTTTTTACATGAAAATAGAGGAATGGTAATGCGCACCCAGAAGGTACCCAAAAAGCATTAAATTTCAGATGACTCAATTAGGGCAACCCAACTTAGCAAGATCCCCGTCACGGAAATAGATTCACCACATCAATTACAACTTTATCACTGCACAGCAACTATACACTTACAAAAAAGTATTTGGGGAGATCACAAACCTCAAGCATAGCAATTAGTTCGTCGAATGAATTCATGATCAACGAGACAGGAGAAGCGCAGACCATGCGGCAACACGACAGCAGTAATTCATCCGAATAAAATCGGCATTTTAGAATCGCGGCCTTCAAAAATTCTGCGACTCTCTCTTGGAATTCCGAAGGCGTATCCAGCTCATTGACAACATCCATTAGGTCATCATCATCATTACGAAGATGTTCTTGGGTGTTCGGTTTCAAGAGCAACATGAGACCTAATTGGATCATTTTATAAAAGCCACTGGCAAGGGGATACTTTTCCGAGGCAATCATCGCGGTTTCGGTCCAGGCAAACATGTGTTTGCGAACAGATTCAGCATAGCTTGGATCCGCTCGCTCCGCAAGGACAAGAAATGAGAAGTCAACAACGTTGGCGAAGATAGAGAAATCGTCGACGTTTGAAGCAACAAGACCGTCTTCTGCCTCCTGTGAAAAATGAAATTGAATTCGAAAAAATCCCGAAGATGAGACATTACTTATAAAAAATAATGTACAGTTGAAAGAGAGGGAGAAACGATACTACATTGATAATTGCCCGAGATAAGTTTATACAGTATACAGTAGTGAAAAAATCATGCAAAAAATGGCTTCGATAATTACAAAGCTGAATATAAATTGAATAAATTCACTTTAAATCCATTCATATATGATAAAAATCCCTCACCAACTCAATTGGAGTGAGTTCTTCGACGTTCCTTTCGTCGTCAACACGATGAGTCTCCAAATTTAAATCATCCACGATTTGCAACACTCCGGTAACAAACGCAGCCACGAAATCGTCGTTCGTTACATCAACCGGAAGTTCTAAAACAAAATGAAGTCCAGTTCACAGATCAGCAAGAAAAAATCGGACGACAATATCATCAACTCTATTTGCATAAGGGATTTATCAAAAATTTTTAGTTAAAAGCTTTCATAATTAATTTTGTTTCTCGCTCCATATTTTTGCAATATTTACCAAGACATTTGTGACTCGCAAAACTTGAAAAGAAAAATAATGACAGCACATAAAGTCGTACCGTATTTCCGCAATTCAGATTTTGAGAGTCCAGCAAGTAGCTGCGTCCAAACACCGACGAAACTTTCGTGACTAACTTTCCCACTCCAGCCATTGAAACGCTTGCCAGAATCATCCATCAGCGGATCAATTATATCAGCTTCTTCTTTCGGAAAATGGGAGCATGCTCTGATGACACCCTGACGAACTGCAAAAATAAATTTGCAAACACGCCCATGAAATTCGCATAATTGTCATGATACATGATTAACCAGGATTCCATCCCCACAAACATGAAACGCAATGCAAAGGGAATTTAAAAAATCTAAAATTGAGAACACTCACTGATGACACGAAGAAACTGAGAATGTGCCACATTGAATTCTTTCGCCTTCAGGGCGACAATAAATCTCAAAAGCGACGAGGAAACTATGAAATGAACTTGCACGGGTATTCCTTCAGCGAATCCTTCGCACAAAATCACCCCAATTCTTTCCACATTCCGCAAATTGCACAAAATCACGGATTCGTCCTCTTGCTCCAGTGCCGTTGTAATGGCAGACAATGCGATGAAAAAATCAGGGGCCAGCCCCACCTTTGCTTCCCCGCCTCTGAAAATGAAAATAAACGCGTTATTTCATGTTTGAAGTTACCAGGGAAATCTGTGCATTCACTCAATGATGATTTTCAAGCCGAAATTGACAAAGCTTATTAAGTAGCGTCCAAGAAGTTCTTGGCTGTAGAAAACACTGCAAGGACCAGCGAAAGCGCCAAAACCCTTGAAGCAAGAGGCCATTTCCTTTTCCGTGATGCAGTTGCTCGGTTGCTCGCTGGTTTTACGCAGTTGCTCTACGTAATACTGAAATAATAATTTCATAATTGAATGAATGCGTGGTAGGACCCAAATTTCGACGAAAATAAAAAAGGAGGGAGTCGCCCAGAAATATTTCGCTACTGGAAAGGCGTTTGTAAAATACTGCATTAAACCTTTCCGATGATATCTCTGTCAGTATTCATGTTCGACACATTTTCAGATGATGAATTCATCGCTTCCCCTAAAACTTTTGAAATTTAATTTTTTTTCACAGTATTCAATGCATAGAACACTGTATATTTGAGATCTAAGGCTTCACCAACAGCATGAGGCGCCAACTGCCACCACCTTTCGGTCCTATGCATATTTTCATCATTTTCTGATGGGATAAGAATTTCAGAAATAATTTATTCAATTGGGAACCATGGCGGAAGTCGAAAAACTTCGCTGAAATTCATTGGCGACCGACCGACCCATCATTCTGGGAAAAAACAGAAAAAATAAAGAGATTACTTACAATAAAGAAACAATATGGGCAAATCTAAAATTTATTTCAAAATTGCGGGCGGCCGGAAGAAAATTCGCAGACATAGGATAGAATTTATAAATTAATTGACAAATTAATTTTGAAAAGGACTAACCGAGAACACTTTCTTTCCGTTACCAGCGTCCATCCGTCCCCTGGATTCCACCAGAGCAGCAGCAACAACTCTCAAAAAGGAATCCATCGCAGAGCGCGCAGCTTTTTTCGTCTCTTCATTTTTATGACCGCAACATTCCAAAATATATTTGTGCAGATCTGCGGAACTTCCTTTAAGCACGACTGCGCACGCATTTTCGAACAGTTTCGGCTTGAAGAGAACAGCGTAATCCGAAATCAGACGCAATGCAGCTGAAATGAACCGCTCATGAAAAACTTGGTAGGACATTAAACACGATGTCGAGTATGGAGATTTAAAAACCCCCGACAAAGCTCCGTTCGATTATTTACCGAGACCAATGCATTTAAATTTTAGAAGAGACGACACGAACTATGGTCATCGATGGAGATGCAGTAAACCCTCATTACTGGAGATACAGTAATGATACTAGCATTGAGATCCCGTCAAAAAGAAAACCGCCAAAATTATTGACAACTCAAATATGCTCCTGCAAATTACCATTGCCTTCGATAGCCTGCCAACAAGATTCAAGTTCCACAGAGATGCCAAAATTTAGATATGATTTACGCATCTCAATGTTATTTTGATTGATTTCTAGAACTAGAACTACTAGAAGAATAAGAATTGTATTTCTTATTATACAGTACTTCATTTTCATATTATTTTACCTTTCAAGATAAACTATCAACCCCAGTTAAACCGCCACAAACATCACAAACAAATGCTGGTGGCTTATTAAAGTTTGGCTGTATATAATATACGCACCTCGAGAAGTTTCTCCTGATTGCCTTAGTTCTTCAGTAAGCGCCAGAATTTTCAAGATGACCTCAAATACTGTATCATACAGAGCGGAATCGCCAGGAAGGTCGTAATGCATGCAAAGGCCACGAATAGCGACGAAACACCCCTCAACGATGGTGAGATCAACCTTTTTGGATTTGCTGTTCATCTGCCGCTGAAATTGAACCTTGACAACTTTCGCAATAGCTTCTAAACTGCACTTTGGAAACTTCTCCGCAATTTTCCCGAGCAGCTTCAACGCCGCCCTTTTTCCTTTCAAGAAAAATATGAAAATTTATGTCTCAAATTGGAATAGCGAAAAATTCTGCTGATCTGACTTTCTCCGAAAATCGGCACTTTTTATTACGCTAGGTTCAACTTCGGTTCAAAGTTACGAAAAATCGTGTAAAAAAAAAAACCTGTTGGTCTCAGTTTTGTTCCATCCAATTCCCGTATCATACGGGTGATCAACTGGATAACTTTCCAGTCATAATCCGAGAGTTGGCCGTAAGGCTGAGTATCCAAGAGATCGGTGAGAAATTCCAAAGATTTTTCCACGACCTTCGCATTCTCAATGCATTTATTGAAAACATCCAAACACATGCCCTGCAAATAGAGCACAACGAAACCGAATTGAGAAATTTTAATTGGTTTTGGCACTCGATCGTGAACTGCTGCGCACAAAAAAAAGCAAAATATTTTTTTAGCATATGCGGAGGGTTTCTCAGATTTCATTCCAGTCAAAAGCAAATTCTCCGAAACAGAAATAATCTTGTCCATTTACAGCGAAACATACAAGATGATTTTCAAAAATTTCAGTCCATCTCGTGACAAAAATAAGCAGATGTGATGCAATCGAAAATGTCTGAGAAATCTCTCGATGCTTGGTGTTTCAATTGCAGATGGAGATTTTTTTCCTTCCTATTTTTTTCTCGCAGTAAATAATTTTTTTATCTTGTCGGATTCAAAACTGGTTTCCATGTTCATCTGGGCAGAATAAGGCTCTGCTTTCCTAATCCCGACGTAATTAAATAGTCCTTAAAGAAGAATAATATAATTCCCTCGAGTTTTCTCTTGTGTGTTTTTGTAGGACAGAGATTTTCCGTTGGTAACGTAAAAGGGACAGAACTGAGGACTTTCTCGATAATTAGATAAGTGGTCGAGAATGGATACAGTACCCATATTGAAGTCCGGATTCATTTGACTCGGACTGTTCGGAGATGATTCTCCAGATTTGTGAAAAACCGTTTCTCATTTCATTGGAATACTCACCCTGAGCAACAAAACTTTTGAAGAGTCGCCAGGAGAATGCTTGAAAAACGGCAGCAATTCAGCAATGGTCTGAATACCATTACAGACGGCCGGGATCGCGTCATTCACTTTAGCCGCATTTCTTATCGCACTTTCCAATCCACGATCTCCAAACAAGCTTTCAATGACCAGTTCTATAAAAGCGGAACAATAATAAACCTCATATTAAATTTGAACACGGCAAGGAGAAAATGAGGAAAATACAACTCACGGTGATCTTCTGAAAGGTCGACGCTGCTCACGAGCTTCAACAGCGTATCTGAGATCTGGTTCAGCTCTTCGGGCTGAACCGGATTAGCCTTATCGCTAAACTCGTTTAAAAGCCTTCGCAATTCTTCCATGTTTGAAAAAAGGCTGCCGCGAAATCAGTAGATCATGGTAACTTTCAATCAACACTTCCCGTCACAAAGGTAGCACGATCTGCCCATTCCTGATATAAACGAGTAGCGCTTAACATTTTAAAAATTACCTCGATGTGCACAAGAAAAATAAAATAAAATCGTTGGAACAAAATTTATCATCGTAGAACGCATCTGTATTCGCAGATGCGTCCTTGCTTCATCAGCATCACGTGGCCACTTCAATCAGCACGTACCAAATAATTACAGCCACCAGCCCCTATTCTGCCGCGGGTACAAACAAAGAAATTCTCAGTAAAAAAAAAGAAGCACGATCACATGCGAAAAAAATTAGTTATCTCATAGACTGAATAGTCCCTCTCTTGCCGATAACAGGGTTCACCTCAGTCGAGATGATCTTGTCAGAGGTCGTCTCGATGTGCACACCAAAAAATACATGAAATAACATCGTCGGAACAGAGTTTATAATCGACGCATCTGTATTCGCAGATGCGTCCTTGCTTCATCAGCATCACGTGGCCACTTCAATCAGCAAGTATCAAATCATTACAGCCACCAGCACTTATTCCACCGCGGGTACAAACAAAGGAAATTCCCAGTAAAAATACAAGACGATTACATACGAAAAAACGTAGTTATTTCATCATCGACTGAATAGTCCCTCTGATGCCGATAACAGGGTTCACCTCAGTCGAGATGATCTTGTCAGAGGTCCTGGCCCAAAACGGACCCTCAAGTCCACTGTTCGGCCTGCCTACTCTGTGAAAATCAGGATTTTTTCCTACATTTGCAGGAAAGTTGGCGGTCACTTGAGAAAGGCCGGACAGATGGGCGGTCATGGGATCCACTTTACCCAGGGGACTCCAGAGTTTAAACGAGAAGCCCAAGCAATTTCCTCCAGCATCTCGGAGATCATGGTCGTCGGCGTATGTCGTGGTCAAGTTCACAAGGGCTTGTCCAGGAGCATGTCCGTGGATGGGGATATCCCCAAGTGGAATAGATCCCACGAACAAGTCATTGATCCAGTCAACTTCTTCGGCGAGGTCCGAGAACCACTTGAAGCCGCAATCGAATCCCAGATATGAGGACCAATCCTGCAGTTTCCCGTCGTTTTTATCACGGGAGTAAACTGGAAAGTCAACGGGGTATTTTTTATAGGAACGGAAGACACGGCATCCAGCAAAAGTTAGAGGGAAACAGAGCCCAGGGGCAAGTCTTCCATTCGCCGTCCAATCCGTTTCGCTGTCATGGGCAAATGGCTCCGGGTCAGAGTCGTCTTCAGCAAACTGGGCAACATCGTGGTTCTGCGAACGGAACACATCTTCAATGTTGATTATTTTCATCAATCGACGCATGTTCTGTCGCAAAACGGCGACCGGTGGAATGATGTTGAAGAGCAGGTCGACGGGCTGATCATTAACACCATCTGCAACGATCGGTCCACGGGGAAGACTGGGCCCAATGAGGCCAACACCTTCATGTTCGCCATGCCCACAAGAGAGACCGCGGAATACATCAACAAGTGGTCCTGGAATTCTCATGGCTTCTAGTTTCCGCATGAGAGGTGCGAGTCTGTTGTTGAACACGTGATGTACCGTTCCCATATACTCCTGAACTCTCAAGACCTGGACGATCCACAGAGTTCCAATGTAGATGTGGAAGAGAGCAGGATGAAATCCGCGATCACCGATCATGCGAGACTCGTTGATTTCACCCGCGATTATTCCAACAAGATAGCCAGTGAACTGGTAGTTTGGCCAGTATGTTGAAATAATTGGTTTGCACTTCAAGAAATAGAGATTTGGAATCAGACGAATCATAGCGGTCATCTGTTCAAGCTCATTTTCGTCTTCAGAGGTAGACTTTCTCTGAGAGGTTCGCTGTTTACCGCTGGACGCGCTTACACCGGACATTCTCACTGCACTTTTTGTCACTATTTCGCCAATGATCTGGAAAAACTAACGCTTTGAAAAATTAACGTATGTTGGGTTCAATATACAGATTGCTTCATTCAGCATACTGTACAGCAATGGATTATTTCACGAGTTATCAACTCGCGAAGTAAACCATTGCTTTTTCATAACAAATAATAATGAAAATGTCTCTTAGGCCTTCAGTGCGTTGAACATATTTCGGTTGGGTAGGGAAAATTGAGATCTTTCGTTTTTCAGGACTCCACGTCCCACGTAGCCCTACAGGATTAGACGTCCTCAGTCTCCTCACAGACTATACTTCCTGAGATTACATCTACCTTCACGAACAGCATCCATGAAACATTTTATCATTCCAGTAATTCGTAATTTCTCCTCTTCGGTTGGTCACTCAGTTCTTGAGGAGTGAAGAGCGCTTGTGACTTGAGCAGCACAAAACCTATTCACAAAATCAACAGGTAGCGACAAAAGAAATAATTTTGAATCAGCACTTAAAAAAAAAAAACGCTCTAACGGGTAGATTTCTAATCCATTATCAAGGTAACCCATACTCAGGAATAGATCATCGCAAGAACCAATACGTACACGGTGATTCACCTTGACAGTCATCAGCTTTCTTTTTATTCTTCTGCTGATGAAAAGAAAGCAAGAGAATTTCAGACTAATGAGAGCTATTTCATCATCGAACGAATAGTCGTTCTGATGCCCATCAGAGGGTTCACCTCAGTCGAAATGACTTTGTCAGCAATCCTCGTCCAAAATGGCCCATCAAGTCCGTTGTTCAGCCTGTCCACTTTGTGAAGTCCAGTATTCTTTCCCACGTTGTCAGGGAAGGTAGCGGTGACCTGAGAGAGGCCACAAAGCTCCGCCGTCGTGTGGTTCATTTTATCCTGAGGGCTCCAGATTTTAAAAGAGAACTCCAAGCTGTCTCCGTCAGCATCGCGAAGGCTGTGTCAGGGAAGGTAGCGGTGACCTGAGAGAGGCCACAAAGCTCCGCCGTCGTGTGGTTCATTTTATCCTGAGGGCTCCAGATTTTAAAAGAGAACTCCAAGCTGTCTCCGTCAGCATCGCGAAGGCTGTGATCATTTACGTAATTCGTCGTCAGGTTCACAACGGCTTGTCCTGGAGCACGGCCATAGACTGGGATATCCTTCAGAGCACAGGACCCCTCAAACACATCACAAATCCAACCCACTGTTCCGGCGACTTGCTTGAACCACTGGAGGTTATCGAGTCCGAGATACGAGATCCAATCCTGCTTTTTCTTTCCCTCTTCATCACGCGGGTAAGTTGGAAATTGCATATTGTACAAACTCGACCCATACCGACCCGAGACGCCATAACTCCCAAAGTACGATTCAGAATATAATGAAAAGGTCAGTGGAAAAGAAAGACCTGGAGCAAGTCTTCCGTGCGCAGTCCAATCCGTCTGGCTCTCGTGGGCAAATGGCGAAGGGTAAGCCTTGTCTGCGGCAAACTGGGCGACATCGATGCTCGTAAAACATATTTTGTTGGCACATCGTCCCTCTCGATCCTCTCGGTCGTTCGCCATTTCAAACATGCGACGCATATTTTGTCGCAAAATGGCGACTGGTGGAATGCAGTTGAACAACAGGTCGACGGGATGGTCATTAACACCCTCCGCAACAATCGATCCATGCGCCAGACGGGGTCCTATCAGGCCAGAGCCCGCTTGGTCAGCGTGTCCACAAGATAGGCCGCGAAAGAGGTCAACTAGAGGACCTGGTATTTTCATCATCTCCAGATCTTTCAGATGAGGGGCGAGTCTGTTCTGAGACGCGTGATGAACCGTTCCCATAAATTCTTGAACTCTCAGAACCTGGACAATCCAGAGGGTCCCGATGTAGATGTGGAAGAGTGCTGGATGAAAGTTGTCACGGTCATAATTGTTCTTGGGACGAGAGATGAGCCGTTCACAGTTGACTTCGTTCGCGATTAATCCGACAACGTAGCCGGTGAAGTAGTAATTCGGCCAATAGGTGGACACGTCGTCCTTGTAAGTCAAGAAAGAAAGATCAGACATGAGATGAATCATAACGGTCATTTCTTCCGTTTCGTCATTCGTACGCAGCCTTTTCGCTGAGGCTCGCCGTTGATCTCCAGAACCGCATTCTTTACTCGCCGTATTTTCTTTCATTCTTTTGTCCATGATCAACATACTGTAACAATAAACGCGTTGATGTAAAGCATCACACTGGATTAATGCACACAGCACCTTAAAAAAAAACTAACCCCTTTCAGAAAAAAGGTAAAATTGAAAAATGGTTTTTAGGGCTTTCTTGAAGTTACACAAGTTTTCTTTCATTCACAACCAAGATTCACTCCATCTTATATTTACGGTGTCTCACAAATTTAGACAAAATCTGCAATAGGAGATTTCAAAGAATTTTTAAAAGCCTTACTTTTAAAATCCTCAACAATACAATAATCAAATAGATTAAACGCCTTAGGATACTTCGAGGCAAATTTTCGCATGAAAGAAGAATCATCAGAAATTCAAAAACATACGAATCGATTTAAAACCTTCGAACACTTGAAAGCCTGATCACTCACCACCTCGTGCGATGCACTCCTTCACAGTCGCCTTTGAATTAGCTTCAGAATTCAGATAATCAACGTCAGTGACGAACTTGGCAAAAAATCTCAGTTCGCTATCTTCGAAATGATCTGGACTCGGTGAATAAAAAATTATGAATTCCACGACAAAGTTGAGATTCACAATCGTGGTAATGAACGTTTGCAGTCGAGCAACTACCAATTCAAATTCGGAGGGAATTTAATTCAGCACTCACTACTTCAGAAGTTTTCGACAGATGCTCAACAGATTCTCAGGAGAGAAATTCCCCAAACTTCAGAGCGGATTTCGGAATACATAATAATTATAATTATTCAATTATAATTAAAATCAATTACTGCAATAATTATTACTGATGACGGAATGAGACAGTCACGTGACATTTCTTCGTGAAGATAAATACTTAGTAGTGGAGTGAAGAAGTAGGCCCGTAAAATTGGAAAACAGTCCTAAAAGACAGCAAAATTAGCAAGTAAAGAATTTTTAAAAATACGTTTTCCAAGGAAAAAAATCTCTCGTAGGAAATGTCAAGAATCTCTGACGTAATCGAATTGATGTCGGAAAAAATCGGGAAACTTCAGTTCACACAAAAGAATTTTGGAGAATACTAGTCATGAAATGTAGGATTTTCTAAAACGTCACAGGTTTAAGAAAAGTGAGGATTTTTTTTTAATCAACCATCAATCCTCAAGCAAAATGGACACGGCTGGATTCCCACGAGACATGAAAGCACGATGATGATTGAATCATTGACCATCAAGACAATACTAAACGAAGCACTGCGAAGTCCAAATCCCACCCAAAAACTCGTCAGGCTTTACAAATCACCACCTTCTACGTCAGCTCAAGTGTCTCGTACAAGAATTCCATCTTGAAATTCACTCAAGAACCTGAAAAAAACGGGGAAAATTATCCAAAGCTCCACAGTTGGACATTGACGACGGAGATTCTCTCGCTCGCGAGGTCTAGCCTTGAGCACAACACCGACGAGGAATCTTCCTCTAAAAACACGTTTTTGATCGTACAATCCAATAATCATTCCCAAAACACACCTCCAAAGACCTATTCTACGTAATAAG